CCACCGCCTGGTTTCCGCCGGCGATTGCTCGGGGATGGCCCAACTCGGGGAGCCTTAGACATGGGCCGTTCCCGGTTTTCGTGGTTGGATTCCCTGGTATTTTGCCATTTGCTGTCTCTTTCTTGTTTTCTTTCTATCTATTTTTCGATGCCAACTTTGGGGACCCCAGCTGAGCTCAATATGCCTTTATTGGAGTTGGGCCTAGTAACCTTTTCCACCAGCGATGTTACCCGCCCTGGAATGTCTTGTGTCTTTATGCGCAGGATCTTGGGTTCGGGTTAAAGAGAGAGGGTGATGATGATGATATAAACATCGTTGGCCGCTCGAGTACTTGGGAGCTCTTCCCTGGAAGTGGGAATAGACTCTTGGAGGAGTGGAAGAAGGAATTTCTGGGCTTGGAATAAAAGGGTTCATCTTTTCTTGCCTTTCTTACTCCTTTTCTGTGCGATGTGTGTTTTACAACGGTATACCAAAATCCCCTTCGCCATTTCCAGAAACTCCTATCTTCCACCATTGTTTCCCTTTGATGAACCGATATATCTTACAAGGGCTTTGCAGCGGCTTTCTGCGAGTCCCCGGGGTTGACCATTACCCACATAATTTCTGTTCCTTTATCTATGATGTTAGCTGGGGCTACACTGATCGTTGTATATAACCCGGTCAACGGGAGAACAAACGCACCTTCAGATCTAAGATTGGATTTCCTCGAAACACCCTTTCTTCTGTATTTCCTGCATTCCTTTAATGGGTTTGAGTCTAACCTCGACCAATGCCTAAGAGATCAAATCAAACTCTACTTCACTTCTGATGTATTTATGAGTGATTGGGTGCTGGACTTTTGTTGCTGGACTTTGCGCAGGCTTCAACCTGTTTGATATTGACTTGCATGGGATGAGTCTGAAGATTCCAATTACTGAATATCGTCAATGTGCATTTAGAGGAAGTTGGAACGGGCTGGAGTAGTAAGAAAGGGGCAGGCTAACTTCTTACTCGCTACATGATCTCTCGATACGCTCTTGAATACAAGACTAGACCAGTCCCAAATCCACCACACTATCTTGTACACCTTTCCCTAACGCCATGCACCTTCTTTTCTGTTCAATGCAGCTATCGTATCTTCTAGCCAGCCAATGCTAAAGAAAAGATAAGAAAGAAAAAAAAAGTCTTGGTAAAGATGACCAGCTGGTACTTCCTTCATCAGTCTTTCCATCAGCGCCTGGATCAATTGTTGAGATTGACAGGTATGACTTCTAGCCACATTGGTGGTTATGCCGTCTAAGAAGTGTTCATGATGCCCCAAGGTTGATGACGGAGAGTGCAGAACAGAGAGTTGTTGTACTGTCTGGCCAACACATTCAAGACTCTAGCCTAAATCTCCCCTCCACCGAACATAGAAGCTTCACTCAGTCCAACTTGAGTGGCCAGGGTTGTGAGGCAAGTCAGACTATCTTGAGAGGCAACAGCAACCGGGGAAAATGCAGTTTCTTACCATCTCAACTTCCCAAATCACCCTAACAAGTCGGCATTAGATCGTCCTTCCTCGATGCTTGGACAGATCGAGGATAGAAACATCTTCTCAGGTCACCTGCTGTCTATAGAATAGAGGTAGTGGCGGTGATCTCCCTCCAAATTGTCGAGCTCTGCTCTTTCCTACCAAGCATATGGAACAAGGTAGGCTTGATCCAACGTCAACTTCCTGTCCGGGAAAGTTCTGACCTGGGGCCGCCTCGATCATTGATATTCCTCCTTTCTGTTCTCGCCCCCTCTCTTTTTCTTCTTCTTTCAACATCAGTCCGACACTCTTTTTTTTTTTTTTGAAAAATTTTTTTGATCATGGCTGAGTTCACCCAATGCCCCCCGTGCCCAGCATGCCCGGCCTGTCCGGCCTGCCCTCCCGCTTCCTTCCCCCCCGCTCCCCCCCCTCCTCCTTCCCCCCCGGCTCCCTCTCCCGTTCCCACGTGGATCATCGCCGTAACTGGGATCGGAACCATGCTAATCGGTTTAGTTGGCCTCGTGGCCTGTTTAGTCAATCGGAGAAAGAACCAGCCACAGGCGGCGGGCGCCGCGGCGGCTGAGGCCGGGAATGCGACTTCGTCCCACACCGGGGGACAGTAAATATACCGGGGGGTGGGCGGGTGGGATTTTTTTTCCTTTGTAAGGTGATGTGCCCCCCTCCCACAGCGTGTTCCCCCCCCTCCCCAGCGGTTTTCTTGGTAGCTGACTTTTGGGGGGGTAGGGCGGGCCCCAGCTGAGCTCAATACCTCATCGTGGTAGCTGGGTCTAGTAACCTCAAATCTTGAGGCGAAGCTAAATTGAGCACTCGAAACATTCGACGGAGGTCCGGGAACTCGGCGATAGGACAAGATGACGGGATAACGAGACGATGCGTACTTGTATGCTGATGCTCCGTACATGGAAGATCTTAGGTCTTCGAGTGCTGGATCTTTGGGTTGTAGAGATATGGTGCTGATAACGACATACATGACTTCGACAGATGGAGAGGGAGGATGAACACGGAGAATGCATTTTCAGATGGATGTTTGTTAAGAATATGTCAACTACACTTTAAAAGAGCCTTTGTTAGTGCGTAAACATTGAAGCCTACTCTCAACGAAGCTGTCGGCTACTTTTTCCATGTGAGTTATAGTTACAAAGTTTTCGGTTCCAACAGACTTGTCTTCTCGCCGCTCCAGAATCGAAGCCCTTTTACACACACACACACACACACATCTCCTTCAACAAGCCTGATGGTGGCTCTTTGCCATCTCGTGCATTATTACGTCGCTCAAGATGCCGTTTCCCATACAGTTCCGAATGATGCTTCGAGATCCCGGCCTCTCGAAGCCCCCTCCGTATCGTTACAGCCAAGACGCAAAGATAGCACTACTCCTCGAGGTGCTTACCCTCCTTGGGGACGAGCTTCCCATACACAGCCGATTCTATCTATCCCAAACGTGCCAGAGCATCCGCGCCGTTGTTCACCAAGACTGGGCTGACGTCCTACGGAGGCTACCACGAGTTAAGCGCATGGAGTTTTGGGTAGGACTCGCCTACCCGCGTCCAGATTATTTCGCCTGCGCGAGCTGCTGCAAGCTGCATCGAGTAGACACCAAGGATACTCCGACTCGCGTTCGATACAAGCGCAAGGATTGCCCATCCCCACGGGCGGCATCCCATATCAGGCGTCACAAATACCTAGTAACCCAGCACCACATCCAACTCGCCTTGAAGTATGACCGCTTAGGGAAACGGGCAGCTGGAAGTTACTGGGATTACTTCGAGAAGTTGATGGCGCCACAGAAAAGAAGGCGCGGCAAGAGATTTGGCTTGATGCATGATGTCTATCCGGATTGTGCCGTGTGCACTAGGGGATCTTATCAGAGTAGGGTTGTTGCAGGAAGATTTATCTTCCACACATCGTGGAGCTTTTCAATCTCGGCATATCGCTCACTAGCCGACTACGTGCCCTTCCGCCATATACCCTACAAAAACGTACTTTGTATGCATACTACGCTACTCTCGGCTTTCCACGCGTTAAGAGACGCGTGGCCAACCAAGCTGAAGAAGGGGTCGGAGGTCCGCGACGTTTACAACCTGGGAAACGAGTGGCTGTCTGTGCGGTATTCGTGCCACCTCTGCCGGACTGATATTCGTGTTGATGTGTGCCGTCAGGCCTGGAACTTCTGGTCTTGGCGGGATGAGGGGACGGAAACAGAGACCGTATGTCCCGGGCTGGACGCGCGCTGGATGGGATGGGATTGGGGGCGAGAGCATGTGGAATATTTGAACCCGCCTTGTGTACCTCACGTCCCAGGAACCATTGAGAATATGTACTGTTCTGGATACAGAACCCAGACTACTTGATTACATTTCTCAGACGCCTCAACTTGTTCTCCTGGTTTGCGAGCTCCTTTTCGAGGTCGATCTGGCCCTCACATGGGCTCGGGCCGTCCTCGAACCCGGGCCGTCTGGATACGTTATTGCTGCATAGCTGTAAGAGATGGTGCGTAGCGGCAGCGTCGCATGAGGTGGGCACTTACGTTGGTTCAGGACTTTACTGGGGGATTTTGTTTCTGTGGCGGAACTGAAGATGCTTATGGATACCGAAGAGATGGAGGTTGGCCGAACTTTGAATGTAGTTGTACGATCTAGAACTTGAAAGACATCCTGCTAGAGACGTAGAGAGCAATGGAGTTAATTGACGAAACTGGCAGTCCTTGAAACTACTCGGAATCGCGAATGCAAATCCCCCACTGTATCATCCCAGCCCATCCATCTAAACTACACTCTCCCGGCAGCCAGGGAGAGAGACGCAGCAGGCTTGCTGTCGGTGTTCTCCCCATACTTACAGTAGAAAGGCGCCCTCTTGCTCTCAGCAAGTTCCTACGAATGTTACCATGTTGGGTTTTAAATGGTCATCTATTAATCCAGTCCTAATTTCTCTGAAAAGGCCGTCGGAAGCAATGCCGACGAGAGGACTACATCCTCAATAGACAGACCACCCAAAACCTTTTTTTTTTTTTTTTTTTTTTTTTTTTTTTTTGGTGATGTTTCAATTTTCAGAGGGGAGTTGGTGTAAAAAAAATCAAACGCCTGAATAAAACCCGATGAAAGAAAGATAGAATGAAAAAAAGAAGAGAAAGGAAAAGACCAGATGGCCAGCCAGCTTTATGCTGAACTGGCTCAGATCATAACTCATCTCTCGTGTTCACATTCCTCATCAATCATCAATCATGCTTCGTACTCATCATTGCCATGCCAATGTGAGAGAAAAGAAAAAAAATTACCAAAACTCCGAAAACCCGAGATAAAATGGAAATCAGTCTCACGCACCATCATCGCGCTTTGAAGGATCCTCCATATCAAACGAAAGGACTATGAGTCCGAAAATGAGAGAGAAGTTGGGCCAACGCCCAATGTGCCATAGGTTGGCAAAGCTCAAACGGTCGGGGCGTCGAATATCCTCAGAGCCTCGAGTCGAATGAATGTCTCTCATGCGATTACAACAAGAGGGAGATACCGGCGATCGCCATGACGACGGCAAACACACGAGCATTACCACTGCCGACACCATTCTTCTCAGCGCCGGAGGTGTCATCAGAAGGGGTGGCAGAAGCGCCAAGAGTGGGATCGCCGAGATGTGCGGTGCCGGTGATGGTGAAGACACCAGTGGGGGAGAAAGTCGAGTCGCTATGCTGAACGACCGAGTAACTCACGTTAACAGCGGGGGCAGTGTTGGTAACATAAACAGTCTCCTCAACGCCAACAACCTTGGTGGTAGCGTAGGTAGAGTGAGTATGCGTCGTAAGCGTGGCCTTGTCGGCCGGGCCAGCATCAGCAGCTCCGGTCTCCCCAACAATCTCGGTGACGGTAACAATGACGGTGTCTTGGTGAGTGACAGTGACAACATCGGTCACGCCGCTAGAGCTCGAGGAGATCTGTGCAGGAGGTAAAACAGTTAGAACAGGAGCAGTTTCGGTCCTGTCACCAATGATGGTAACAGTCTTCGTGCTGGTGATGGGTTCACCGGATGCAATAGGAACACCAACCTCGGTGGCGGGAGATTGCTGAGCTCCGTCAATCGGGCTGACAATCTGGGTAACAGTGAAGTAGAAAACCTCGGGAGAGCACTCGTCGATGTCGATCGCGCTAGATACCGGAATAGGCGAGGAGGTGGTCATTGAAGCCTGAGCACTACTCTCACCAGGCGTGACAATGACAACCTTGGTGGGAGTGAAAGTTCGAGTCTTCGTAACAGTGTTGGATGCAGAGGTGAGGGTCAGAGTACCACCAACGGAACCTCGAACATCTCCGGCACTGAAACGGCCAGCAGAGGCAACCGAGCTGCTATCAGAAGCAGTGGTGGCAGAAACAGTCACATAGTTGACCGCAGAGCCGGTAACAGTAACACTAGAATAGTTGTGTCAGCGCATTGATGGTGGAAGGGATTGTAGTCAGATTACACTTACAAGACGGTAGCCGAGGTTCCGGTAACAAGGCTCGAGCTGTTGGTGACATGGGGACCAAGGAACGGGGGAACGGGAGGGAAACGCAATCCACGCGGGTAGATCTGGCGCTCGTGGAGACTACCAGACTCTCTAGCATTGGCGTCTGCGTTGAGACGGGAGCCCAAGGTGGAAAGTGCATAAATAAGCATGACCAAGAGGGCAACGAGAGAAAAAACAGTAACACCGAAGCAGCAGAAAAAACCACGCGAGCTCTTCTTTACTTCGGGGACATCACCAACAGCAGTGACAGTAATCTTGCTGCCCATATCCTTATCCTTGGACATATCGCCAAGCTCAATGTAGATGTCCTTATCAGTCACTAAGTCCAGGAGTACAGGGCGTTAGCTAGATGAACAGGTGAGCTATTATGAGACAGTGACTTACAGTTGGGAGCAGCCATTTTTGCTAACTTGTCACTGCTAGAATTTAGTTTTCTCGGTCTCCTACTTGGCAAACGCCTCGAGAAGGCAGGGGCGAGAATTTGAGAGATGGGAGATTCCAATAGAGCTTACCAGGGAAAACAGCTGGAGGAACTCGTCAATAAGGTTTATCAAGGATTTGAAGCTCAGAAGCTCAATTCTAAAGAAGAGCCGAGAGCCGGTTAGTGCATAAAGAACTCGAAGAATATGGAGAAGCCTAAGAGACAGGTCGAATGGTTCCGGGATACTAGGGGAGGACAATTCGGAAGTGGAAGAGGCGGGAAGAAACTGCGTACTTCAAACTCTGCAGTGCAGAAATCTCTGAAGTCTAGGGTATGAGGGAACAGAGGAGGCTAGACCAACTAGTGATGGATCTTGTCTCGATGTGGGATGTGGGAAGAAGGGGATGTGAGAATGGACATGAAGAGGTGAGGAGGGCAAAGAAACAAAAAAGACTGATGGAAAGCCAGAAGGCGAGGCGCTCAGGGCAAGAAAACAAAATGAACGCGTTTTCATGTGTGTGTTTGTGGATATCTGGGGCTTTGAGGCGGGAAGGAGCGAGGAGCTGTGAGGGGAGGAAGGAACTCTGGTCTAGAGTATCGTAGCAGGAGTGTGACCCACGAAAAGGGAGCAGATCAAGGTGGCTTGGGAGACAAGGCTCAATGAGGCCAGGGAAAATCAAGGGAAATGAGTGCAGAATGAAGAAGAAAGAAGAATACTATAACTGTAAGGAAATGATCCACTTACTTGGATGGTGGAGTGTGATTGGATCTGTACTAGATGTTGGAATGACTGGAATGGGTTGGTTAGAAGTGTGATGAGAAGTGGGAGGGAGAGATGATGTAGGAGAGAAGTTTGGTGAAATGAAGAAATGAAGAAGTGAAAAAGTTGGCAGCGTAGGAGAAAGGGAACAGTGGCAAGGATCCTGGAAGGGTGGGGGATGTGGGAGTTTGGGTGAGGTTTGGAACTCAGTGTCCAAGAGCCACAAATCCAATCAAGCTGGGGTAGGTGCCAAAACAATCCTTGATCCCAAGTCACTCAAATGAGCCTGAGATCGCCTTGAGGTTTGGAAGAATGGTCTGAATGGTCTGAATGGAAATAGGGTCAATGAAGGTGGGATTGAACTTACTGAGAAAGGAGTGAGAGTTGGATGTGAGGGATACCACAGAGATTGAATGTCTGGATATTTCGAAAAGGTTGGTGAAGAGGGAAGAAGAGGAGAAGAGTTCGTGCTAAAGATTGAAAAAGGAGATATATATAGTTTTTTCTCCTTCTCTCTGATGCACACAATCACTGGAGTTCGGAAGAGATATTGGAGGAAGGAGCACACCAGGACAGCTCAATAGACTGCCCACCTTCCTCCTTTGTGTGGCTGGCTATTCATCCCCCTGAATCATCCTATTGACCTCAGCAACCAGAAACACCATGGAGAATAAATAAGAATGCTATTATCTAGGAAGGAACACTTTATTAAGATAGTTTCCCCTTGCTCCGACCCCGGTGACGAGCGAGGAGCTATCCCTCGGCCACGAGCGGTGCTGACAACGATGATATTCTTCTATGAATACTATTTCCCCGTTGGCTTGGGACTTGGGCACAATTCAATGAGATTGATGGATCTTTAGGGAAATCTACCAATGGCTTTTCCAAAGATACGCTCCCATGTTCCCGAAGAAGGATGAGGCTTTTCACCAACACCTAGTCCAGCTCGGAAAATTTACTAAGCTCATCCCGGCTGTTGATCATGCGGTATGAAGATTCTTTATGGAAGGGGTCAAGACTACAATATCTGTGGGAGATAATGGCGTTGATATTTCTAGTATCGCAAAGGGCCAACCAATACTTGCTTAGAGTCTAGACAGAACTTCAATTGATACTTGTTCCTTGAATGCCCGTGGATCAAGCCGCCAACTTGAACAGTCCCATCAAATGCCATCAGATAATTCGAGTCCCTTCAGAGTCCGTAAGAATATGCGATGTGCGCTCAATTAGAATTATTGTGATATGTCTTCCCGTTATCAGAAACGGATTCCTTGCTCCTCCTAGCAGGAAAGACTCTCACACACTTACACATAATCGATGAGTGAGGTTGAGGAGGTTGGAATGATTAGTCATAATCAACGCCACAGGTCCATTGTGCAAGGTACCAATGACAATCCGAAGCAGTCATTGCGTGGTGTGGCCAAATTTAATTTACACTGTTATGTTGTCATAAGTTTAGGTACAATTAATTGTACAAGCTTTTGTGCTGAGCACCCATTGCTCCCCTGCCCCATGCCTGCCCCATGCCCCCAGTTGCCATGCCTGTCCCATGGTCAGGTCCAGTGTGACAAAGTACAAAGTACGCGACATTCGCGCGACAACGCCAAACCCCCCCCCCCCATAATTTCAGAGCATCTCTTCTCTCACGAGGAACCTCCATCTGCAAGCTCTCCTCCCTCTCTCTCTCCACCCGCCCGAAATCCCAACGTGGTGCGGCACGTCAACTTTTCCAAGGTCTGTTCTCTCCTTCTACCGCGACTGCTAGACTGGGTGAATCGACTCTTTATCTTTGCGCTGGAATTGTGAAACTCATCTTGAAGTTGTGTGGCTAGGCGCGGTTTCCATAAATAATTCCGAGCTGCCTGCTTACCTTTGACCCTCGCCGTTTTTGTACGAACTTTCTGCGGGTGTCGAATCCCACCTTCCGTTCCGATATTTCCCAACATCACGACAAATCGTCCTTCCTCCTCGCCATAAGGACTTGTTTTAACGTCTCTGCCATTGCCGACGTGTCCTCTTTTAGTTTTGATCTAGCGAACCGAGTGATTTCAATTGACGGAGCTTCGCCGATACCATGCCTCCCCGACGCCGCAATCGTCGTGGCAAGGACCCGACCCCATCGCCCGAGCCGTCGCCCGAGCCCCAAGTAGAGGAGCAGGAAATGGAGGAGGGTAGCGGGGACGAAGAAGCGCAAGAAGAGCAAGGGGCTACTGCGGCGCAAGCTTCAGCGGGCGACGATGACGGCCTGGAAGGGGAGTTGGCCAAGCTCAGATTCGACGAGCCTTTAACGTGGCGCCCAGGAAAGCCTATCCCTGTGTCACAGTTATTACCGAGGCTTCAAAGGCTGTTCGAAGAGCTTAGCGACATGGAGCAGGATCGCGTGGATAAGGACTCCCTGGCCGACGTAGCGAATTCCCTCGCTCAGCGCAACCTTCTTCAGCACAAGGAGCCGCCGATTAAAGCCTATGTGGCGTCGTGCCTGGTCGAGATTTTGCGGCTCTGCGCACCCGACGCGCCGTTCACAGAAGATCAACTCAAGGTAAGGTTGAGGTGGTCGTGATCCTAGGCGATGGGGCCTTTTTTGGTTTTTTTTCTTTTTGGTGCCCTCTTTACTAACAAACCCTATCGCTACGCGTAGGCGATATTTACCTTCATCATCACCTATACTCTACCTGCGCTCAAGGATCCCTCGCACCCGTACAATGGTCAGCATAAACACGTCTTGTCCTCTCTTGCCGAGGTCAAGAGTATCCTACTCCTGAACGACCTCGACGGCGCCGATAACCTCCTCCTACACCTCTTCTCCACCTGCTTCGACTGCGTGTCAGCTTCATCGATCCTCGATGCGGACGGAAACCCCCCTGCAGATGTCGAGGCACATATGACGGATATCCTCATTTTTCTTATTGACGAGAGTCCCGGCCTTCCAGCGAAAGTTGTGGAGGCTGTCATTGCGCAGTTTCTCAGGCCGGCGCACTTCAAGTCTGTGCAGAGTCGATCCGATAAAGGCGAATCGAACGGAAATCAATCCACCCTCTTGCCAAAGAAAGAGCCTCCTGCGTACGTCATGGCCAAGATGATCTGTACATACAACCCGGAAAAGATGGCCCGATACGTGAGCCAGTACTTTAGCGATGTCATCATGGACGCATCGAGCTTTGCAACCCGAGGCAACGGCCACAAGCAGGGCGATGACGAGGAAGAGGCTGCCCCATCCGGCCCGACAGAGGCGGATCTGAAGAACCTCTCCCAGGCCCACCTACTGATTCGGGAGCTTTGGCGCGCTGCCCCGGCCGTGCTGCAGAATGTCATTCCCCAGGTCGAAGCCGAGTTGTCGGCCGATGACGTGCATCTTCGCCAGATTGCTACCGAGACCTTCGGCGACATGATCTCGGGTATTGGCGCCGCCGGTCCCCCATCCGCCCCTAATTATGACCCGTGCCAGTATCCTCCGCTGCGCTTCAACGATGAGGCTTCGGCCCCCATCTACGATAATGTTCTCACCACGCCCATATGCTCGCAATCATTTGCGCAAACTTACCCCTCTACCCATAACAGCTTCCTCGGCAGGAGAAAGGACAAGGTGCCTCAGATCCGAGCTGCCTGGACCACTGCTGCAGGCTATATCCTCTCCACGTCAGCTGGCGGCATTGGTTTAAGCCGAGAGGAGCAGTCGCAGCTTGTTGATGCCCTGAACGAAAAGCTCAATGATGCCGACGAAAAGGTCAGGTTGGCCGCTGTCAAGGCCATCGAGCTGTTTTCCTACCGCGATGTCGTCACTAAACTTGGTCCCAAGGGCGGCGCTAACAAGGAAGGCTCCGTACTCGCAAGTCTTGCCGACCGCTGTCGAGACAAGAGGCCTGCTGTTCGTGTCGAGGCCATGGTCGTTCTAGGGAAGCTGTGGGCCGTCGCCGCCGGAGACATTGCCGCTGGCCAAGATGTCGTGGTGGCCTGTTTCTCGGGTGTTTCCAGCCGGATTCTCAATGTCTTCTATGCCAACGACTTGGATCTCAATGTCTTGCTCGATAGGGTTCTTTACGAGTATCTCGTGCCGCTTGGGTACCCTCCCCGAAAACAGAAGCCTGGCGCCAAAGGCAGTTCCCAGAGCCAGGCCGCAAGCGGAACAGTATTCGACCCGGATAGGATTCGGGCAGAGAGGCTACTGCAACTCGTAAAATCCTTGGATAACCCTGCGAAGAAGGCTTTCCTTGCCATCCAGTCGCGGCAGCCGCAATTCGCCCAGGTCTTAGCCCTGTTCATCAAACAGTGTGAGGCTTTCAATGGTGGAACTATTGACGGGGATGCAAAGCGGACGACGGAGCACCTCAACAAGACGATTTCCTACGTTTCCACCTTCTTCCCCGACCCTCCCAAGGTCACTACGGACTTGCAGCGTTTCGCGAAGCTCAATGATCGCCGAAACTACCAACTCGTCAAGTTTGCTCTTGGTTCCGAGAGCGACTTTAAGACTGTCCATGGCGCCATCAAGGAGCTTATCAAACGCATCCAGGCCGGCTCTTCTGCACATATGCTCGACACCCTCCTTCCCCTCCTATACCGCTCATCTTGTCTCATGTTCAATAGGAGCCACTTGCCTGCCATTATGGATTGCTCCAAGAATGACAAGGATGGTCTTGGTGCTGTTGCCCACGAAGTTCTTAGCGAGATTTCGCAACGCAACCCGGAGATCTTCAAGACCCACGTCGGAGACCTGTGCAAAAGCTTATCTCAGCAGGCCCCTACCGAGCGCAAGGCCAACGACCCCTCCGCTGTGGATGTCTTGAAGGCGTGTTCGTCGTACTCCCGCAAGTACCCAGATGAGATCCCAAGGGACAAGGCGTTTAGCCAGAACCTGATCAACTATGCGCTGTACGGGACACCTCCGAAGGCGGCCAAGTACGCTGTGAATATCCTCATGGCCAAGAATGACGACAAGGCGATGGTGAACGCGACGAGTCTTATTCAGAGGATAATGAAGGATTGGAAGTACGAGTCTCCACGACTTCTCAACAACCTGGCGGCCGTGAGCCAACTCGAGCTTCTCGCGCCCAGGGTCACTCTCGACTATGATGATGCCATCCTTGACATGACAGTACAGAAGATTCTGCTCAATGTCCGGACCGATGCTACGGAGCGCGATCCAGTCTGGGTTAATGACGCAGATATGGACGAGGAAATCCAAGCAAAGTGCCTTTGTCTCAAGATCCTTGTTAACAGGCTCCGGGCGACGGAGGATGTCGAGCTGGCCAAGGAGAAAGCTGTACCGGTTTTCAAGCTCCTGAGGAACCTCATTCTGAAGGACGGCGAGATTTGCAAAGTCAAGGATACGCCAAAGCATCACCGATCCCGGCTGCTCCTTGCCGCGGCGAAGCTTACCTTGAAGATTTGCACGATCAAACATCTCGACGACATGTTGCAGCCGAAGGACTTCAACAGCTTGGCTTATGTGGCCCAGCGGGGAGAGCCTGCGGTCCGTCACGGATTCGTCGAGAAGCTCCAAAAGTACCTCGTCCAAGGCAAGCTGCGCTCGAGGTTCTACACCATCATCTTCCTGACGGCGTTCGAGCCTGTGGTATCCGTCAAGCAGCGCCTCGAGACGTGGATCCGATCCCGCGCCCAGTATTACAGGGGCACCGATAAGAAGCACGTCATGGAGGCGCTCATGGGCCGTCTCATTTCGCTCCTGGCACACCACCCGGACTACAGCACCGACGTTGACAACCTAGTCGACCATGCCCGGTACATCGTGTACTACCTGAGCAACGTCGCGACCGAGAACAACCTCGGCCTTATCCTTAGGTATGCCGAGCGTTCCAAGCAGACGAAGGACGCCATCGATCCGGCCATGAGCGAGAACGTATACGTGCTCTCGGACTTGGCGCAGGCGGTCATTCGGAAGTGGATGGACAAGAAGAATTGGAGCTTCCGCGTGGGTCCGGCCTCGGTTGGGATTCCTCTCGGCTTGTATTTGACGCTGCCGCATGACCAGGCGCAGGAGATTGCGGAGAAGCAGTATTTGCCGGAGGGTGTGGATGAAAAGCTTGATGATCTTATTCGGTCGATTGATCGGAAGAAGGTATATATTCGTCCTCCAGTCAAAAAAAAACCCACTCCCTACCCTCAACCGAGTTTCTGGTTCTAACGTTGTATTCACAAACTACAGAAGAGAAAGTCTGTAGATGACCGTGCCGAGCCATCTAGCAAACGGACAAAGACCCTTGTAACGAGGGAAAAGGCGAAACCCAAGACTAGCCGCGCCACCCCTGCGCAGCCCAAAAAGAAGAAGCAACCAGCGCAAAAGGCGGCGAAGCCACGGAAGAAGAGATCCTACGATGACGACGACGATGACGAAGAGGAAGCTGGTGGCGCCCGCGCTAAGTCTGCGGCCCGCGCGGCAGCCGCACGTCGGAGAAGTTCCCGCACTGTCAAGGCCTCTACATACGCCGAGAGGGACTCGGACGAGGATGATGAGGAGATGCTCGATGGTGTTGCGGAGTGGGAGTATCTCGAGGAAGGAGCTGGTGGTGCTGGTGGTGGGGACGATGAATCTGAGGGTGATGATGCGGGTGGCGATGGCGATGAGGAGAGCGAGCTAAGCGATCCCCCAGAATCTGGCGAGGAGGAAGAAGAGGAGGAGGAAGAAGAAGAAGAGGAGGAAGCTCCGCCTAAGAGAGCAGCGTCGTCTAGGAGGAGATGGTAAATATATGCTCGGGAAGAATGGGCTCGAGCAGTCCTGGGGACGGGAAGTTACCAAGAGGCATCCGAAGAGGACGGCCTAGTGGGGGTTGTGGGTATAGATGTGGATGAAGGGATGATGATTTGGGTTGGGAGTATGGAATGAATACGGGGAATCAAGGTTTCATGACTGAAGTTGATCGATGCGTCCTTTCTTTTCTTCTTCTCCCTCTCCTTTTCTTGTCGTGTGGACGCTCTGCTTTTTATTGTTTCTGTATTTATCAAGTCTGAGAAAGGAAACGGGGCTGGGGGGGTTTACTGCGAATGATTCCTCTCTGCTTCATCGGTTCCTCTGTTTCTGTCGTCGCTGTTGTTCTATTCCAAGTTGGGCTCTTGTCGATATCTTATCCCGCGCAGTTCTTATTTCTTAGTATCTCTACTTTTGTTTCGTTCAGTTTTTTCTTCTGTTCGTTCGAACGACTACCACTGCGCTTATTTGACGGTGATGAGTGTATTATGTATGCATCTATGAGCGTTCTATTCTCTTGAGACTGAATGACAGGGCAGTTGACTCCTATGTCTCTTTGTTTTAATATCTTTATGCTCCTTTGAGCCTTCGGGCTTGGGAGGACAGGACGGGCAAGTTGGTCGTGGCTGGACCTTGGACAATATCGGTACTCAGATTCCCTATCAAACGGCTTCGCCTGAACAACTGCCTGTCCCGAACTGGGAGGAGAAGAAGGAACATCGAAACAGCCACTTACTCCGAGCTGCGTTTGACATGAATATCGTGTTTTTTTCTATATTCCCCTGTTTGTAATACAAAGAGTACAAAGTAGTAGTTAAGTAGAATAGAAAGAAAAAAGCCAGCAACTATAAAGCAAGTTTGCCAAAACAAGTAACATAGAATGTGCCAAGTCCCCATCACGCTCCCAACATAGACGGAGCTTCAAGGAATAAAAAACGAGAAGCCAGTTTAACCCTCTGAGTTCAATACCATACGCTCAAGTGATCAAGATAGAACAGGAGCACAAGCTTAAAAAAACACACACAATCTCAAGTGAAAACCCCCATTAACCCCCCGTCCGATAGCAACAAAAACAAAAAGCCCTTAAACCCCCAATTCCTGACCCGAAAAAAAAATGGAAGAAGCAAAGAAGGAACGCCTGGCACTACTACGGTTTCGTCTCCTTGCCCTCGCGCTTATTAACCTTCTCCCTATGCTTGTTGTGCTTGAGATGGATCTCAAAGTTACTCGCCGTCATGTCCGCGCCGGGCGTGTACAGCTTTCCGGGGCAATCCTTGCAGCGCACGCGGGGGAGGAACATATACTTTGTGTCGGGTGGGAGGGGTTGGCCGGGTTGTTGCTGGATAGGTAGCTCGGTATGGGGGTCGACAGGGGAGTATTTCATGAGGGCTTCGAAGGAGTCGTAGGTGTAGATCTTTTGGAGGTTATCGAGGGCGTTAATGAGCCATTGGGGTGGTGGGGGCTATTGGTAAGGTTCAATATTAGTGGGGGCTGACTCGAAGTAGAAGTAAAACCTTGGAGGGAAGAAGAAGGAGAAGGAAAAGAAAGCTTGTTACATACCGGTGTTGGGGGTCCGCGGCCTGGAATGGGAGGAGGGGCAGCTACCCTGCCTATTTGAGGCGCCTTGGTGCCGTGAGGCTGAGGTGTAGCGGATGAAGTGCCGGGCGCTGGTGTCGAGGAGGAGGCAGCTCCAGGCGTGGCTGGAGGTTCCATGGCGCCCAAACTGGGCCGCGCCCTAGCAGAAGGCGCAGGGCTCTGAGACACGCTCGGCGTGCGCGCGCCACGCGGTTCGCTGAGCAGCCTTCTGAGCTTGTCCTTATGCACCCTGAGAGTGACGATGAGCCTCTCGTCCTGGTCATCCACAGTATCCCTTCCGTAGCGGCGCGCCGTGCGAGTCTCGTGATGATGCGTAATAGTGGCTTCGGGGGTCTCCGACCTGCCGAGGTTGGCCATGCGTTGCTGAGCGGCAGACGCTGCTCCGCGCATGCCCCTTGTCCTAGCGGTGCCTTGCGCAAGAGCAGAGGGTGCGGGCGACTCGGGTGATGAGTCGTCGCTCTCCTCGGAGTCGGAGATTTCGCCGTCCCGAGCGGCGCCTCGCTTCCGACCTGTCGCTGCGCCCGCCACTCGCTTGTAGAGTCTGCTTTCTTCGATATCCCGGGCGGCGCCGGGGAGGACGGAGGACACAATGAGAGTCCTGATGGTGCGCTGCCTCTCCTTGAGGTCTGGTAGTTGAGGCCCTCCGCGACGATTGACGGACCTCTTCTGTCGCCGTTGTTCTCGCGAGAATATTGTTTCGTTCCGCTCTAGGTCGGCCTCGGTCATTTCCCAGAGGGACGGCGCGTAGTCCTTGGCTTGTTGTTGAGGTCGGAACACGGTGGGCAGAGGCGAGGGTAAGAAGGCGGAAATGAGGTCGGGGTCTTCCACGGGACGGCCATCGAATGGATGGCCGACGCTGTAAAGACTGCGGGTGAAGAGCTGGACTTGCTCACGGATCGAGTGGGCGATTGCGGTCGTGAATTCACCAGACAGCGACAGGTCGCGGGCCATGCAGACGGCGAATTCTTCGGGAGAGTTGAGAGGATTGTTAATCTCCCATTCGAACTGGTCGACGAGAGTGTGCTGGCCGATTGTGATGTTGAGCTTGATTAGTATTCGCATCTCGTCGTTCTTGTACGCTGAATACGGCAGCTCAGGATCCAGGGAGTCTTCTTCGGAGAATACGAAAGGATAGAAGTCATTGATTTGTTCGCGCATCTGAAAGACGATCTGTTCGAACACTGCTTGGGAGGCGGGAGGCTTAATGTCCATATCCTCAACGAGCTGAGCGGCGAACAACTCGACTGGCACGGTGCGGTCATGGAGGTTCCAAGTGAAGGTGTCTCGCAACTTAATCTTGTCATGGTCGACGTCTAACCTGATGGGGACAAGTTCCTCATGCTGTTCAGCCTGCTGAGCCATGTCCTTCCTCTTCCATTTCAACGGTTGAACAGTCCTCTTGCCGGGACGGGGCTTCTGCACGGGGTATAGGATGACGGAGTGGTTGTTGTTTTCGGTGAAACCATTAGCGAAGCCTTGATAGCCCTCGCCGTATAGCTTGCCCGGCGGGAACCACTGTCGATATTCGTTCCTGACACGCGCGTATTCCCTCGTCCTCTCGAGTTTATACGCGGTTTCCGCCTTCTTCTTCTGCGTTTCTTCGTAGAGGCCTGCGGCGGCTGCGGCATCACGCGCCATATACCGTTCCAGTAAGAGCTTCTGGAAGGACTCCTTCGTCCTCACCGGGATAGTTTTGGCACCATTTTTAGACGTCGCAGACCCATCATCGCCATTAGCATTCTCGGATTCTGAAGTCGCCGAAGTGGGCTCTTTCGTTCCCTCCGTCGCATTCGTGGGTGCCGCGCCGGGGGCAGTTACGGTAGGGGTGGATGTCGGGGTGACAGTGGATGTGGAAAGTTCTGCAGCCATGGCGGGCGGGAAAGTGTCGATCGCGCCTTTGTCGCCGCGACACCGCGACAACCCAGCGCGAAGGAGGGTTTAACGTTGGGGAGCCAACTGGAAGGAAATAAATTTGATAGATCGGGTGTAGCGTTCGGGGGGGTTGGTGATTTGTCGCTCGGTATGGAGGTATTTCGTGGAGGTCGTCGTTCGAATTGAGATCGCGGGCGGATTGGATAAATTGTTGCGATTCTGAGCTACCCAAAATTCATTTGGTAGGGAAGGTGGGCGAGATTGAATCTGGAGGCGCAGGCTGAAGATTGAGTGCGGCGCGTGAGATGTTGGTCGCTTTGTGGCTGGAGACATGTTTCAAGTTTTTTTCCCTCTCCAGAAATGGTACATGTTCATGGCCCAAAACTGGCACATTACAACTTGTACCTTATTGGCGAAGTACATTTTGCTCACATAATCTAGAGCTTCCATTTGGCACTTGACAGCACCTGGGAGTCACAAACACAGCAAGATCAATTAACGCACTGGCCCATCTTCATTCGACGCGCCCAACCTATCATAATATCGAATGAAGCGACAATACGCGTTTGGGTGACATGGCTCGTCCTGCCATGTGCATCATCTTTTTGCTAAGCCCTGCTCCGTCTGGGCGAGCCCGAAGTCTGAATCCTACATCTAGTGCTGCAGCTTGCAAACGACAGGTAGTATTGCGCCGAGGAACCACTTAGACACGTAGTCTAGTAAGATCCCCACCAGCTGTTCTCGGTGATGACGGTAGTAGCGAAGGCCGCCCCAGACGAACTCCCTCCGGCTCTTTTTTATACGTCATGGAAAGCTTTATGGCTTCTTAGCTTGGTGGGGTCAAGGAGAGGCTTAGAAGGATATGTTCCCACCAAAGCCGCAACCGGCATCTCAACTGATGACCCCCGTTACAGCGAGCTATTATTGGCAGGCGGACTGTGGGCGGAGAGCCCGGACATCAAATCACGAACTTGTGGGATTGGTTAATCTCTAGGAAGCCACAAAGGCGAGAGGCAGAGATTAGGGCTGCCGGACTCGTGTAACTGCCTACGAGATGCGGTTGTGGTTGTGTTGGCATCTCAGGAAGAGAACCCCCACATCGAGCTGCTGGCCTTTTGTGTTAAGAATGTGTCAAGCTTCCACGAAGTTCACCCCATCTCATCATCTCCATGATCTCGGCTAACGAGTAACGGGGTCATGGGAATTCTGCAGGAAGACTGCAAGAGATACATTGGGCTATGTTTGGCTTAAATAATCTGCAAATGGGAGGAGAAGGAGGGACCAGCTGTCGGAGGCAGGAGGGACATTTGCAGTTGATGGCTGTGGTCACCTGCGCTTTCAAGCAGCAACGCACAATTCAGGGCACAAATTCAGGATTGCCCCTCCTTCCCCGCCTTCGCCCGCCCGACTCGACCTGCTCCTCAGACACCAAGACGAAGTACACAACCACACACCACACAAACCACGACACAACTGCCAAGTCAGGAACGAAGACGATATTGGCTCCAGCCTAACCTAAGTAACTTGTCATTTGATCGTTCCACATTCCTTATTTTTCCCTTTTTGTTTTTCTTCTTCTTTTCCTATATTTTGAAGATCAGGATTATCTTGACCTCTGGTCATTTCATTCCCTTATCAACAACAACCACTCTCTCCTCTCTCTCCCCTCCCTCTTCCCCAAGCAGCCAGAGCTCTTGTTTACTGGCCTGAGTTGGGAAGCTTGCATCAATCGTTGATTGATCTTATACACACGGCTTGCCCCTCATTGACATCACCACACAACTGTAGCTCTTCTCCGTCAAAACCTGGATTGAAACACCGCAACAATGGCGGACACCAAGGAGATTGGTACGTTTTGCGTTGATGCATTCTTTTGACGTTCTTGTCCATTTCCTGGACAACGTCCAACAACTGGGAAACTCGAATTGTCCCTCGAGTTTTGTTTGCCAGTAGCATCGTGACCCCACCCCACCTTACGCAGGGCAAAATCTTTCCCTCGTCTCTCCCTTGCTCAATCACCCCGCTCCCCACCATAACAAAGCTAACCAAGCTCGACCGTCGACGCAGATTACACCCTTAACAACCCCGATACCCTCACCAAGTACAAGACTGCCGCCCAGATCTCTGAGCATGTGCTAGCTGCCGTCAAGGAGCTCTGCACTCCTGGTGCCAAGATCGTCGACATCTGCGAGAAGGGTGACAAGCTCATCGAGGAGGAGGTTGCCAAGGTCTACCGTGGCAACAAGAAGATCACCAAGGGTTCGTACACGTTCTTTTTGTCTTGGTTTCCTTTCTTTTTATTTTTCTCTCTTTTTGTCCTCTGTCTCTTGGTTTGGGCTCCTGGGTCTTGGGCGCTGGAAACTAACTGCTGAGCGTCACGCGGATGCCATTGTCCCCTTGCAGGTTCCGCACACCCTTGCACCGTGTCGCCTGCCTCCTACGTTACTCCTTACACTCCTCTCAAGTCCGATGAGGCCGAGGCTGCCGTCGAGCTTCAGGCCGGCGAGCCCGTCAAGATCCAACTCGGCGCCCAGATCGATGGCTTCGGTTCGATTGTCTGCGACACCATCATTGCCGGCCAGGCTGACAAGGAAATCACCGGCCGCCCCGCCGACCTCATGCTCGCCACATACTATGCCAACGAGTTGCTCCTCCGATTGATGCTTCCTCCTGGCTTGCTCGCTTCCGGAACCGATGAGGAGAAGGCCAAGGCTGCTGCCGCGAAGCCCCCCACCCAGTCCAAGATCACCAGCCTACTCGAAAAGGTTGTCAAGAGCTACGACTGCAACCTCGTCGAGAGCACCACTACGTGGCTCTTCGACCGCAATGAAATTGAAGGCCAGAAGAAGATCGTTCTCGCCCCCGCTGAAGGCACCAAGGGAGAGGGTTCTCCCGCCATCGGTGAGGTGTGGGGCGTTGAGACGGGCGTCAGCTTGGGTAGCGGCAAAGTAAAGACGCTCGAGCAGCGTGCCACCCTCCACCGCCGTACCCTCCAGACCTATGGCCTCAAGCGTCCTACCTCCCGCAAGATCCTTTCCGAGGTTGTCAAGAAGTTCGGAAACTTCCCTTTCTCGCTTAGGCAGCTTGAAGATGAGCGTGACGCCAAGTCCGGTGTCGTCGAGTGCGTTCGTGGCAACGTCTTCCGTCAGTACGAGCTCGTCGGCGACAAGGACAACAGCCCTGTTGCCCGTCTCCTAACCACCATCGGTAAGTGGCCCTAACAAACGAAGACGAGAGAGGGGAGAGAGGACGGAACTCTGGAGCTAACAAGAATATTAAGCCATCACCAAGAACGGCATCACTAAGCTCGGCGGACCGCAACCTCTTGACATTAGCAAGTACAAGTCGGATAAGAAGATCACTGATGAGGAAATCCTCAAGATCCTCGAACAACCCCTGGCGAGGAACACAGGAAAGAAGAAGACCAACAAGAAGAAGAAGAAGAAGGCCGCCAAGAAGGAGGGATCTGAGGAGGAAGAGAGCGACGAGGAATAAATGAGCTGAGAATTGGGTGGGGCGTTTCGTGCCTGAGAGTCTCGATTGCGTGAACTGCTTGTCAGATGAGCACTTCATATGGCAGGTTTAATGGGCGCCCCATCCATCATAGCAGCCGCACAACTTGGGAGCCAGCACTTTTCCCCCGCAGCCGCAGAGAACCTGAGAGGTTTATAGGGCAAAGGTGAAACGGCGTTTGATATATATATTCCCCCATCTGTCACGACTAAGGCGAGCGGCTGCTGCATGTATTTACGAACGCTTACCTCTGGGCTATTTGATTTGGTGGAGAGTGGGTATATGCTGGTCTTCCTGGTAAGTTGTCTATCCCAATCAGCACAAGGGAGACTGCCTATACAGAAGAACATAGGATGGCACATGGAACTCCCAACCCGCAGTTTGCTCCCAGCTCGAATAGGAACAATAAGAAAAAAAGAGAAAGAAAAGAAGCTCCTTGCCTTGAGGAGAAGAGAAAAGTTTTTTGCATTGTCTCGCGACCGTGGTCCACTTGTCTTGCAGAAATATGACCGTGGCAGGATGACAGGGAAACAGGCGCATGTGGGCTGTGGGCTGCGGCCTCGTGGCGTTTCTTCCTCACGCCTGCGGGATAGTCTCGCCACCCTGTCCAGATAAGCCTCCACCAGAAATGTGACCCCCCTATTCCACTACATATTATTATTGCGCATCGCCAGAGCCGGAATAGCGCCAACGTAGCCCTTTGAGGGTGCCCTAGGAAAATAAGCAACGTTGGATGCGTCAGTTTGCCTCCTCGATCCTGGGGTTTCTGTCAGGACAGGCGCTTTTCCTGCCCCTCGGAGACCTTGTGGCGAGCTTGGTAACTGAGTAGTGATTGAATTATGAAAATGCTGAAGAAGTTGCACCTTCCTGGGTCTGGGATGCCTACTGCTAAGGTGGGAGGAATAGGACGAGCAAGGCTCCTGGGAGGCACGTCGCTATGTTCGGGCGGGCAATCATATCACTCCTCTCGGCGAACCCTAGACATTAACATGTCCGAAATAGTTCTCTGATTGCAAACAGGTCTTTGCGCAAGTTATTGGGCGATCCAATGGGTTTTCTGGGGACTTGGAAAGGCTCCTTTGGCACTCATTGCCCTAAAACGTTTCTGGGGCTCCTGGGAAGTTCGTTCCCTTTGAGGATGCTTGGCACTCACCTCGGTTCGAAACAGGCGAGCTCTGCAATCTCTCACTGAGACTCTTGGTGTCTGGGCGATCAGAGCCACCAGACAGCAGGAGCTGCCCGTCCGCCCCGTCTCCCCGAAGACCAAGGAAGGCTCTCTGAGCCGTGATGTGATATGGAGCCAGCTTGAACCCCAGTTTTCCCTCCCCTCTTTTCGGGGGACGGCAGCCTCCTCATCTGACAACGCACTGAACAGGCCCAGGCTAGGTGCTGCCTGGCAGGCGGACGAGGCGGCCCATGTCCTCAGAGGCTGGGAACCCAATAACTGTGAGTGAGTATGCCAGTGCTAGGAAAGAAGCAGCGACTCGGAGCTAGGAATTTTCCTTTTTTTCTCATGGGAGCGGAGTTTGTTGGGAGGAGAACAGAATGTTGGAAATTGTAGGTCCAGACTTCAGAGAGACCGAGACAGGCATGGGAGGTGCTGCACCAGGGTGCATAACTCTGTACCACACACGTTGTCAGAGCTGGGCTAGCCGAGGAGACAATGACCCAGGCAGGTCAACAGAGGATAGGGGAGATGGAGGACACCCGATCGATCATGGATCAAATGCAGGAAGAGAATCCCGCGTGGCAAGAAGAAATCGGCTAGCAAGATGCAATGCAAAGATAAATTTCAAGTTGGCAAATTGATTTCAAGGTGGATGGAGGCTGGAAGGGTCCCGGGTACGGTCGAGAGGATCTGCCCTACCCCCTTGTCCGACGCCATGAGTGAGACTTTGCATTTTGGGGGCCACTCTAAATTTACAGTGCGGCGCCAGGCCGCGTTTTCCACGACAGAAGAAAAAAAGAGCCCGACAAGGTCGAAGCTTCCCCTACACCAATTCACCATTCCTACCACACACACACACACTTTTTTGCATCACCTCTGGCGCGGAGGATAAAGATGCGATCCTAATCACATTGAAACAGGGAGATACAGAGAATAAATGCAATTCGTTTCTCTTTCTTGCGCGACCAGGTAAATTTTGCAATAGACTGTGGGTCAGAAAACGCGGTCGAAACACGATGCTAACACCGAGGCGCGCAGGGTCCCTGAGTAGTTTTCCTCCAAGAAATCTCCCCAATTTCGAATCTCCCCCGACAAGGGGGTCCCGCAAGATCCTTCTTTCCTCCACGAACCTATTTTTGTTGTTCTTTTCGTGTTTGCCTTTCGACGCGACGTCTTGCGAGGATCTCAAAGGCAAAAGGTTCTTGAGACAAGTCTGAAGGTGGTGGAAAATTAAAACAGGACTGTCTTTCGCCCCGAAGGAACAAACCTCTGATCCACCATGATTTCCTCCAACACGAGATCGTCGCGCTCGCGATATTCGAGTCCGGCACAGGGAGGAGGGCAAGGAGGAGGCGGAGGAAATGGAGGAGGACCTCTCGAGGCGAACAAGAACTCTACCAACGAGGCTTCGAGGGCGTTTATGCGGCGGTGGATGGAGCCAGCGGTGCAGCACAAGTCCAGCTTCGAGGACCTTGGCCTTATGCGTTATGGCGTGTTCGAGAACATGCAGCCTTTGGGGACGTTGCCGAAAGCATCAGCGGCGACGGGAGGAGCGGGATCGAAGAAGGAAAATAGTGGTATCGTGCGGAAAATCGTGCTGAAGCCGTCGCGGGCGGGGAGCAACGCTGGGAGGAAAAAATCTGCTGATGCAGCGGCGCTGCTGGACCACGACGACGACGAGGCGGCAATGGCGGAGGGGGCAAGAGCGGCCCACCGAAACAGCAGCACAAAATTCAAATTCCACGGCCAAGGCAACAGCAACAGTTCCAAATTCCAACCTACGAACGCGTCGTCTATTTCTCCCTCGCCTTTCTCTTCTTCTCGTTCCCCATCCCCGCCCATTTCTCCTGCGCCATCTTCTCCCCAACCACCACCGCCATCGTCATCCTCCACTTTGCCTCCAACGCACGCTTCATCGTCGAGACGTCAATCGGCAGATAAAGAATTGGCGTTATTGGGAATGAGGGATTTTGACGACAACAACGACGAAGATTACGAGCCTAGGGGTGGTAAGCGGAAGGCGGCTCACAGGTCACCGATTACTAGGCGGAGTCTAACGAGAGCATCTGCAAATCGCGCTGCTGCTTCTACTGCTGCTGCTGCTGCTGCTGCTGCTGTCGCTGCTGCCGAAGCTGAAGATATAACGATGTCTGCACCATCGCCATCTCCGGCTCCAGCTCTGGCTCCGGCTCAGCCGAGAGCAGCAAGCGAGGAGTCGGAAGGAGACCTTGCGAAGAAGCGACACGTAGTCGACAAGGTTGTCGACGATGCCGTAGAAAATGCTCTCAAGTACCATCGGTACCCGACAGCCTACGCGCTACGCACTATTTACGACGAGAAAAAATCGTCGGATCCTCAGATCGTGTCTATGTTTGAGGACGTATTTCTCCAGCGCGCCGACGCCGACACGCTCGATCAATTTGCCAGCCTGGTGACGGAGCGGAAGCAGCTGGGAGCCAAGGACAACGCCGCGTATCGATTTTTCTCACCTGACGCCGTGGGATCCCCCAAGAAACCCATCCCCGCACCTTACGCAGACTTGCTCAGGCTCGACCTCAGCACCGCGAGAATTCTGTACGACGACGAGGAAGACCTACGAGCGCTTAAGAAGCAAAAAACTACGCATCCGGAACCATCGCCTTCGCTGTCGAGGTCTCATAGGAAGACACGCGGCAGGGCCGGCAGCATGGCGGACGAAGCTCAGGTCAATTCTGCAGAAGATGGCGCTGCCTCTGCAGATGCTTCTGAAGCAGCAGCAGTAGCAAAGCAAAACGCACCACAGACGCCCACTCGAAGGCGTACTCGCAGCGACTCGTTGGGTAGCGACTCCTCACTTTCGTCCATCTCGCTCGACACACCCGAACTTCGGGCATTTTCCAACTTCGAGGACGAAGATAACAGCAGCTCGAAGCCCGAGTCGGGAACCGAGGTTCAGAGGCGGCCCAAGATCAAACTGAAGGCCCAACCCAAGGATCAGGGCAAGCCCAAGGTGCAGCGCCAATTACAGCTACAAAACTCGGCTACGGGTCTCAGAATCAGTGGAGGTGGTATCAGTAAAAACGCCAACAGGCGAGCCGACACCACCACCACCGGAGCAAGCACAAGCAGCAGAAGTACCCCGGCAGCGGCAGAGGGCCAGTCGCAGACAGCAGATTCCATCTCAGTGGTGGAGGAGGACGAAGACGTGTCAGGCGGGCAGCCCACACGCCAGCCAATTACGATAGGCACGGCAGCAGCCGGCAAAACTGCGGTGGCCCAGCGCAAATCAACCGCGTCGGCCACTAAAGGCGCCCATAATTCTAGGGCCAATCCCGCCGCCCCCAACAGGTCCAAAGCCAAAGCCCGCGACACGCCCTCGCTGTCACTCTCACCCTCGCCATCCTCACCCTCCATCTTCTCCTCATCATCACACCCCGGCCCACACTCTCATGAGGCCCCCCATGACTCCAGCGACAAGGACGGCAGCACCAAACCCCATGCCATGCCTGGCGTTGTCCGTCCACTTTTCCCCAACCTTCCCGTGAAGGTGTCTGCTCTTCGCTCCAGCGCACAGCCGCAGCAGCAGGGCGAGGATAATTCTGACAATGAATCCCCGTCACGACGTGGCACTGCGGCCAAGGCGAAGGCGAAGAGGGATGGATCCTCCAAGCCTCTCGATTCCAACAATAACTCTCCCAAGTCATCGCCTCAGACGGCAAGCTCTGCGCGGAAGACGCGGAGCGGAGTCAAGGCTACACCAATCTCCCTCACCGTCCCTACCACTCGGTCAACTCGCTCTGCAGTCAAGAGGACGCACGATGAGCTTGAGGGAACAGCCTCGCCTGTCGCGACGTCCACGAGGAGCAATGCCCCATCGCAGGTGACGTCGCGAGCGGTCACGCCAATCTTGCAGCCTCCCTCGAAAAAACAGAGGGTTGGGCCTCGGGTGAAGACTTCGTAAGTATTTTCTGAATTTTACCCCCAAGCCATCTCTCCCTTCATTCCTCCATCTTCTATCGGCAGTTCTCTTCGTCCCTTCACGGATCAGTTTTTTTTTTCTGTGTCTTGGACTCTGCTCCACCTTTCATTTGATCTACCTTGTCTTTCATCAAAATGGTGATGTCTGAATGGGGATGGATGGCTAGTGGCAAGAGGCCATTTTTTCAGCTTTGGAGGAAAATCCCGGAATCCCTCTGCCATCAGCCAACTGTCCTAGGCAGTTTAGGATACTACACTGCCAAATCCCCCTTGCTCATGCTTCCACCTGTTTACCATTCATCGTTTTCCGCGACATGGATCAAGCTGGCTAACGATGGATAATTTCTAGGCCCAAGAAGAATGGTAATACAACCGCTGGCATGCCTCGCCCAACAGGTGAGGGCGTCATCCATGTTCCTGGTGTGCAGGCGAGAGACCAGGTGAGTACAGGCTCCCTGCCGTTTTTTTTCCTTCTGCTCCCAATATTGCGCCTTGGGCCCTAGCTTTCAGTGAACGCTGTGGTGAACCCTTAGTCATTTGCTTTTCCCCCCATGCATCGTTTCATCCCTGTGCTTTGCTGGGCTTCATCTTATCACCTTCACGCATGTCCCGATTTGGCAGGTTAGATATTGTAACCCATCTTGGTTTTGTTTCCCGCGTTTCTGTCTGGCTCCTGCAATAGGTTGCCACCGACAGGCCGAAACAGTGCAGATGGGGGAAATATCCACCCGCTACTCCGAGATCAATCTCTTCCCTTACCCGCTTCCCTCCCGCCCTTCTCGCCATCTGTTCCCAAACAAGCCCAGCTCGGTCCTGTTTCTATTTTGCCGGCTCGGCTCTCAGCATCCCTCTTAGACAAAAACAACAACTCCCTGACATCGTGCACGATCGCGTTATGGTGTCGACGGCGCGTGTTTCTATGTGCCTGTATGCTACGTGCTCGAAACGGAACGCTAATCAGATTGCGTTGCGCTTTTAATTTAGATCGAGAACGATGACTATTGTTCGTCGTGTGGTAACAATGGTGATCTCATCTGCTGCGACAACTGCTCCAAGTCATTCCACTTTGAGTGCGTCGATCTCGTTGGCTCGACGGAATTGCCCGAAGAATGGTTCTGCAATGACTGCGTGTACAAGCGGTCCGCGCGCCGAGAAGAGTACAGCGGACCGTTTAGTGGTCTTCTCACCATCCTAGATAGGACCATCCCACGCGCTTTTAACCTGCCTAAGAAGCTGCAGATCTATTTTGAGGGTGTCAAGGTTGGACCAAACGGAGAGTACGATGAGGTCGAGCGCACTACGAGGCTGTCAAAGTAAGTTTCGAAATGGCCGCACATCAGGTCTTTACGTGATACGGCACGCCTGCAGCGCAATGCCAGTCCGATCCGGGTTCTGACAATTTTCTCCAGGAAACAAAAGGAACACGAGTTCGACCTCCACCCGCAGCGAGACATCGAAGGCAAGGCCGCTCTATGCCATGCCTGCCAGAAGAGTGCCTCCGGCGCCAGCAAGATGATGATGCTCTGCTCTGCCTGCCCCCTCTACTGGCATCTCGACTGCGTGGACACTCCCATGGCCCATCCGGCGAACCCGAGGAAGTGGGTCTGCCCCGCGCATATCGACCATTTCTACAATCCCGAGAATGCGCCTCTCGGACGGCGGTTCCGCAAGATCCGTGGCGCGCAGGTTATCAAACCCGTGTATACTCGTGGGTACAAGAATAACGGCGTCATCGAGGTTAATGACAGCGAAGAGCCGGAAGACGCGTCGGGTTGGAGCGATGTTAGGTCGTATGGTCGAGTCCTTCGGCTGCCTGCGAGGGGCATCAAGCTCGATTTTATCGAACAGTAAGCTGCTTTCCTTTCCCTCCCATTTTTTCAAGATTGAGACTGGTTTTATGGCCCCGGTATGGGTAGGACGTCTGTGCTAACATGCTTGAAGGCTGCGCAAAATTGGCGCCGGCCATGCTCCCAAGGCTCCCGACGGCAAGCCGCAGGAGGCGAATCAGGCCAATCCCTCTCCGAATCTCGACGAGGCCGAGGCGGCCATTGCGCTCTGCAAACTCTTCGCCACTAGCGGTGGTGAGCCTGTAGTCGAGAACAAGCACAACGAACCCACCGAGCAGGGCAACATTGCTAATAGTGACAAAACACCCGAGTCCCCCGCTCCACTACCCGCCGACGATAGTAACGAGGGCAAAGAAGCGGAGACCGAGCCGACTAGCGCTGCACTCAAACTGATACACCAGGTCCAAAAGGGCGAAATTAACAAGGAGGCGATCACCAGCGGGGACAAGCAGTCTCTTCGGAAATTGATGGAGTCGATCAAGTCGATGCTCGGAGACGATACTGAAGCCGAAGCCGAAGAGGAAGCCGAGACTGAGGCCGACAAAACCCAACAAGATATGATTGCCCACCTCGATGGTATTTCGGACGGTGCTTCGACGACTCCAGAAGCTTCCGAAGAAGCGGTTACGCCCCAGGCTGACCCGACCATCCACACACCCGTGTCCGACACGGTGGAGAAGGCAGCGGACGAAGCGGCAACAGCGGCTGAGCAGGGAAGCGAGTCGGCGGAGACGATCAAGACCACGAGCGATGGCATAGAGGTCGTCGAGATGGCTGACGACGATCCAGAGCTCGCGAGGGCTGCGAGCGATAAGCTTTCGGCGGCGGGAAACAGCGCTTCGGCGCAATCTACGAAGGCTGAGTCGGTGAAGGACGTTGATATGGCGGAGTAAACGCGAGGGTCGCCCGGCTCAGACCCGTCGACGATTCACCATTGAGCGAATATCGAGTTCGTTTCCACGTTGGCGTTTCCATGCCTCGATACACACCACACTTGACACACACACACACACACGTACACGCACGCACACACACATCATACACACACATACGAGACACACGACAAAAACACGCGAGTCTTTTCATGCTGTCCTCCACATTTCAACTACTTTTTTTTTTCCTCACAAACAGTTCCTATAGACGGTATATATTAGTGTAGCCTCATCACCTGGGGCTGGAGCTAGGGCTTTGCACCTTTTGTGCTCCTGTTTTCCTGGTGACTGGAGGCTGGAGTCTTGTTTTTGTTTTTCTTACTTCTCTTTCTCTTCTTGTTTCTGTAAGAGCTAATCTGTGTTAACAACTGTCTCTACAATGCATTTTTCACTGGTTTTAGCCTCTTGCTGAACTGTAATTTTTTGCAATGAAGCCCCTCGTCCTTCTCTCTCTTTTCCCTTTCCTGTGTATGATTTCTTTTCCTTTCTACCTTTTTTTTCACTTCAATGTATGTGTGTGTCTTTTGTTCCTTTTATTCTCTTAAAACTGAGGAGGACAGGGATTTGCATTGCAGAAACAGCACAGCGAAGTGGATAAAGGAGATCAAGCTTATGTTTTGTTTTACCCTAACTTATTCTGCTTGCTTTCTCTGTCGCCGTGCAAAACAAAGATTGGCGAAACAAGCTCTTTCTTTTCTTCACTTGTTTCTTCTTTCCTTCCTCTCTCTATACTCTCCATCACACGAACGATGAGGGACTATGGGGGCTCGAGTTTGGTGGGGGAAGGATAGCTCTCTAGCGGAAAGAAGAACGAATAAAAAGCAGAAATTGCTGTGTCTTGAAGATTAATGCGTAAACATTTTTATCGGTGATGCAGTTGTGTGCCCATGTCTACACTAGATGCACACTACATTGGGGAAATGATGGTGCTGGTTTGGGGCTCGGCTCCGCCGGGGGGTGGTTTCAAGATTGTGAGGGGAAGGGGTAGAGCCCAGGCAGATTCCCGGGATGTATTGAGAATATTAGATGAGTCCTGTTAGCAGCACAGGGGCATGGCAGGAAGGCGGCTGGACGGCGATGTTCGACAGCAAGGGTTTGGCCAGAGAGAATCAATATTTAGCTGCCTTCGCGCTGGATACTCTATTGGCGCGCTCGTGGCTTCTCAGTAGAGGAGCTGAGGCTGTCAGCTGCGGAGGTTTACAAGGGTTCTTTGAGTCGTAGGACCAAGGAAGGCTGAAGCAGTGGCAGCGGTGAAGATGGCTCACTGGCAGGTGACGATGAGATAGAGTCTGCCTACGAAGTACCTATACTGACTAGAATGGATGATTCCATCTTGGTCGTCAGTCGGAGGTGGCAGGTGCATGCGGGAGGGAGCTGGTGTCCGATCGCTGGTTATCACGTGGGAGCAGGTTCGAGATTGGTGCTCATCAAGATAATTGTTTCGATAATTAGACTAGGTTACAACATTATGTGAGTACTTGGGTACTTTGAGTTTAAACTCGGGGTCCGTAAGTCCTTCCCTAATTCCGGGACGTACTGTATACTTATTGGATGGACAGACTAAGTAACACACCTCTGTGAAAGCCAGTGTACAGGGTACAAGGTGTCCTCCACTCCCGCCGCTCTTGTACGAAGGCAAGTACAGCACAGTCTACGAAGTAGCGGGGACCACTTTCAATCGATGTTCCTTTGCCAGAGGCTTTGACTGGGTCATTTGACCAACCAAGTCGTGTCTACATTCGATTGATGATCGCAACTAATTCCAAGCTACTTTGTACAAGGAACCCGTGTGCTCCCCCCAATTGTTCTTCAACCTCTCGAGAACCGAACCCATTGAAGCGGCTGTGCTGTTTAAGTGTTTCGTTCATAAAAGCCACTCGGGATACCGGGTTTTTGTCAGCGTTGCACGCTGCTAAACTCGTGCTCTCTCTCTCTCTTTCAAACTTGCTCCTCTTCACCGTTGCTACTCGCCCCGTGCTACCCCTCAATAGACGACCCTCCTCGTACACAGACGCCCGCCAGGTCCCCTCCAGAAAGACCCTTCAGAGCCTATCGCCCAGCTGCCATACCGCTCCGTACAAAGACACAGTACAAAACAATCACCGCCTCCAGAACCCAGACCCCGTGTCAGCCGCAGAATCATCTCGATCCTCACCGCAGCCATCTTCTCATTTCTGTCTTTCCAAATCTCCCTGCCTCTCACTGCTCTCAACGACATAAAACCCTCGTAATTTTCTCCTCTTTTCTTTCCCCCCCGATAATAAATTCAAAATGAAGCTGTACTACATTGGCGTAAGTACCCATTCTCCCCCCCTCTCCCACCTCGTTTATCTTCAGCATATGGGAAATAGAGAGAGAGCCATGAAGCTCGTACGGAGATAGCAAGCAGCTGACGACTTGGGGTCGCCGCGGCACGGCGAGGGGAGGGGATTAAAAAGATCATCAAAAACACGGAGAAGCCCGCCGTGCAACTCTGCAGCGCCTACGACCTGAGCGAATTCTCGCGCTGGACCAAAAATGACTATCAAAACTTCATGACCATGTTCAGCAAGACCGTGGCCGAGAGGACGAACCCCGGCCAGAGGCTCGACGTCGAAGAGCAGGGTATGTAGAAATGAATGAAGCCAAGCGTCCCTCCCCCCACCTTTCTTAACCTCCTCAGAGAGCACATTCAAAACTCACACACACACAAGGCCACACGTTCCACTGCTACGCCCGCTCAGAAGGCATCGCCGGCGTCATCATCTCAAAGGACTACCCCAAGCTTGCCGCCCACCAGATCCTCTCCAAGGTGGTCGACGAGTTCCTGGCCGACAAGTCTGCCGCCGAGATTGCTCGCGCCTCGCGGGACAATGAGCTCTCTTTCCCCGCGCTGGAGAGGTATCTCCAGACTTATCAGAACCCCTCCGAGGTGAATAGCATTGCGAATATTCAGAAGGAGTTGGATGAGACCAAGATTATCCTCCACAAGACCATCGAGAGTGTGAGTTGCTTTTTCACTCCTTTTTCAACCTTTCCTTCATCCAGTTTTAAACTCTTGAGATGGGGACTCTCCTGTAGTAGAGACGTGCTAATTGTAAGAACAGGTCCTACAACGAGGAGAGAAGCTCGATGACCTCGTGGCCAAGAGCTCCGATCTTAGTACCCAGAGCAAGATGTTTTACACCACCGCCAAGAAGCAAAACTCTTGCTGCACCCTCATGTAAAAGACACCGCACTTCTCTTTTGTCTTCCAAGAAAGCCATTCGGAGAAGAGAGAGACGTCTCGCGATTCCCCGGCTCCATCCACTCCCTCCTCTCTATCACCCAACGGATCTTCAGGAGGGAGCCTCGTTGCACACGCAAAGCCGTACGACTATTACCGCACATGCCATCCACATCTATTCGACAACCTCGATCTGATTTCCGGCATGGACGGGAAAGGGTCTACAGGAAATAATGGGGAATGGGCCGGGTTCGCTCAGATGTGATTTTTTTTTTTTTTTTTTTTTTTGGTCCTATTTTTTCTCATCGGCGAATTCGGAACCGGGTCCTGAGGATGAACATGGTGATGTAGAATCGGGAGGCAAGACGGCTCAAAGAAAGACGAGGATATTTCGGGACATCCGTAGGACGAACGGAACGGTCGTGGAGACGAAACGGGAAATCTAGGCTGGAGATGCGGGCGCGAATCAAGCAAGTACATATCACAACCCCTAATGAAATTCTTTTTCCAGGACACATGGGTTCAATTCCCATGAAAATCAAGCCAAGATATGCTAGAGATGACTTATGGTGCAGACGGAGCAGAGTTCTACAAACCCCCATATCTCGAAGCTAGATCCACGACTCATCATCACTGTCACAAATGGTCCAAGAGGAGAGAAGATATGACTCCCAAGTTGTTTTATAATCTCAACAAGACACTAAAATTTAAATCTTTTTTGGTTTTGACATCAATATTCATCTTGAAAAAAACACACGTCCCGCTCTGCCTTTCTGGACCCTTTCCCTTTCCGACATCTATATACTTGGCACACCAGACGAAGCCGAAGCTGACAAAAGGAGGGGGAGGAAAATGGCGAGAGAAAGAAAGACTCTATCTCTATCTCTCTCTCAAACAGAGGCGAGAGAGAGAGAGTGAGGGGTCGAGAAGAAAATGAAAATCAAGAAAGACGGCGTAAAAAGGTAGAGGTGATGACTGCGCAGAGCGCCCGAGAAGATGACGAAGCCATAGAGACAAAGGGGAACCCAATCCGTAAGTAACCATGCATAAAATTCGTACAATCGCTTCCGCCTCCCCCTATTCCCCTTCCGTCCAAGGCCCATACAATATCCTCTTCTGAACCCTCCACAACAAGTACGAAGCGGGACTCCGATGAAGTGAGAGAAGGGCAAAAGGGAAAAGAAAAGGAGAAAAAAAGGTCCAGATATAGACAGGCGAAGACTTATAAAAAAAAAAAGAAAGACTGAAGACAGGCATAGACGAGCCGACGCAGCCCGTCGTCGTACCCGGTATGCAGTCCGAGGAAGGAGTAAAAATGAACACCAGTAAATTGCCATTCCAACTCCACCTCCACCGTTATAGTAAAAGAGAAGAGACCAAATCCTCAAGAAAAGAAACATATCCTATCCGCTCGAAACGAATGATCGTGTCTAAACCGTCGTGGCGATGGGTCAAAGAGTACAGCATCTTCATGCTACATCGTGTTCGACCTTCCATGTCTCGTCTCGGACGTTATCGGAATTTGAAACACCTAGATTTTTTTATCGCTAGCGGTCTATTAGCTTTGGATTCGCTGTCATGGAAGAATGTTGAAAGCATGGTAGATAGGGAGGATTGCTATGCTCAAACATATTGAGCTCTTTGGCATGATTTGGGATTTGGCGGTTCGAATAGTAATTTTGAGAGCCTTCACTGGAAGCCTCGAAAATGGCGTGGAAAAACTGGGACACTGGCCCCTTAGGGATGGTCCAAAGGACCATGGTTGTCGGCCGCAGGAGACGGGCCGAGGATAACGATAACCACAGACCGAGTTCGCTGCGACTCAAAGGAAGAAGAAAATTCCCTTACCCGGCCACGTCTGGCATTTACCTGCTCCTGTTGCATGTATGCCATGTTTTGCATGCCTCCTCCCATTCCGCCGTAGTTGTTATATCCGCCCATCCCGGGCGCCGCTCCCGCAATCCCGAAGCCGGGGGGAGGCGCGAAAGTCGACTGGCTAGGTCCTAGTTGTTGAGGTGGCTGAACACCCGGTGGCGGTATGGGTCCACCGTTCGGGATGGTCTGGTTGCGGTATTGGTCCAGAGACGGGCTGGGAGAGCTGAAACCATTGTAGCCCGCCTGCATAGGTGGGAAAAAGTTGTTGGCGGGAGGGTTAGCCCGAGGTAGCATGCCCTGCTGGAACGGGAGAGGAGGCATGTTCATCGATTGCGTGGGGAGTTGGCCATTTCCTCCCTGAGGATAAATAGGAGGAGGCTGGTTAGACAGCGTAGGGAATGGCTGGAGACCTGCATCCGAAACCTCGGCGCGTTGGTTGTTATAGCCCACGTCGTAGCCCTGGCCGTTGTTAGAGGCCCCAGAGTGCGGGTTGTAGAACTGTTTGTTACCTCCGTGCGGGGCAGGTCCATGATGATGGTGGTGGTTCGCGCCACGTGAGGCAGGCCTTTGGCGGTGTTCGCTCGAGTTACCACTGGAACCACCATGATCACGGCTGTTTCCTCCGCTACCCGAGGCCCGAGTAGAAAGGCCGACCTCATCCATTAAGCGCTTGTAACCCTGGTTAGGCTGGGCCTTGATGCGGACCAAGACACTCTTGACGGTCTCGACAACCTGAGTACGGATGCTATCGTCGAAGAAGGGAGTGGTGAGAACCTTGAAGATGAGGGTTGCTCCACAGGAGTGGTCATTAAGAATGGACTCCAGTACGTGGTCGTTGGGTGAGAAGAAGAGCGCTTTGAGAATGACATCGCGGGCCTCGATTTCCGTCTTCTGGTTAATAACCTTCAACACGGTCAAGTAAGCGACCTTGTGGGTGCACAGATGCACAAGATGAGGCACTAGTTGAGGTGCGAGGACGGTTCGTCGGTAGGGGAATGTGCAGGTATCTAGGAACCAAGTCAAGAGGAGGGCGCCGTTCGCATTGGTGGCCAGCTGCACGCTATGGACGGCAATGGCCGCCGCGAGCATCCTCTGCTGATCCTTGCTGGCGTGGTGGCTTTCCAGACAGGCACGCATTGCCCTAGCGCCGAAGCGGCCCTGGGCAGTCTCCCACATCTTGCTAAGCATCGTCTCGAAAATGAAGTCGTTGTACGGCTGACCAAACTTCAGGCATCCCTGAAGAACGTAGTTGCCGTACTGGTCGAGGAAGAGGGGAACGGTGTACGGGCGGAGGTGTTCGACGATCAGAGACATCTGATGTGGAGTCTTACAAACATCGATAATCTTCTGCGCGGCCCAAGTACCATTCTTGTGCACGCCAATCTCGGCCATATGGGGGGCGATCTCGGCAAGCATCGCATCTCGGACCTCGTCACTACAGTGCTCAAAGAGTTTTTGGATGACAGTGTTTCCAAGGTAGTCAGAAGATAGCTCGGCAATCTCGGGGAGCATCTCAATGGCAATCGCCTCAATCTCGCTCTGGGACAGGCTCTGATTATCAATCTTCTTCCGAATGTCTCTCAACTTAGGCGCATCATGGACTCGAGTGTGCGACGGCTCGCCAATCGGGGGAATTTCGTCGACAAAGGTGCTGTACTCGATCGCAGACATGACGTTGCTGGAGATTCGGTACCTGTCCTCCTCGCTGGCGCCGAATTGCTTCACAATCTCGAGTATCTCCGTGACCATCTCCTTGAGGGGACGGACTGTGGGGGAGACGTCAAGGCCTTGGGCCCCGGTGCCGGAAGCCCCCTTGGGTGTGCCTGCGCCGGCTCCCCCACTGCCCTGAGCCCCTCCATCCTGCCCCTTGCCGAACGGGTCGGGACTAGGAGAGGGATAGAGGCCGTCATGGCCCGGCGTATTCGAGGCCGACGCGGGCTTTGCGAAGTTAATGCGAACGCAACCAGATCCAGGGAATATCTCCTTGCCGTTGAGGCTGTTACGCGCGGCTATAGCACTCTCCACACGGTCGTAGTTCACGAACCCACAGTTCTTGTGTGTGAGGACCCTAACAGACATGATAGAACCGAAAGGCTTGAAAATTTCATTGAGAGTCGAAGTCGTCGTAGACGTGGGAATACTTCCCAACCAGAGGGCACTTGTCGGGCCCTCGAGTCCAGGCGAGTCATCGGCGCCGAGAAGAGCAGCGTTCCGGCTGCTAGACCTGCCAATTGCCAGGCCAGCAACGGCCTGAGGCAGATCGTCGAAGTCCTTCTCATCCGGCAGACGAATTTCGGTGGGGATAATGGAGCCAGGTATCGCACCCTGATTGCTAGACAAATACGTGTTCATGAGACGGCTTCCGGGGGTATCCAAGACGCCCGCGGTTCGGGCACGGGGTCGGCTAAGAGATGCCTGGCTAACAAAGGCTTGGACTGCCATGTTATGGTTATGGATGGCAGCATTCGTAGCTGCGAGCTGATCCTGGAGTTGCGCAACGGCAAAGTGGGCGTCATATGCGTGGACGCTGCCTTCATATTCATCATCCTCTTCGTCGTCATACTTGTCCTTGTTGTTCACGGAGTACGACCTGAAACGGTTGGCCCGAGCGAACGAATTGAGGTACGGGGTAGCGAGCTGTGCACGTGGAGGCTGAGGAGTCTCAGCAAGGCCCAGATAATCTAGGGTTCTCATATGAACGTCGCTGTCTCCGGTACCATCTCGGGAGAACGCAGACTGGGCAGGAGAGCTTGGGCCGTTGGACCCGATGCTCGCAATGCTCGCAAGAGTCGCGCCTCGCTCGCGAGTGACTCCAGGATTCCAGGCACTGCTGAAGAGAGACGGCCCGAAGGGAGAATTTGTGCCGGGGAGAGCTCCGAAGGGGCTGCGTTGAGGAAGGGAGCCGGCCCGCAGGCGGGAAAGGAGAGTGCTGGAGGTCGCGGCTACGCCTGCTCCGGAAGGGTCGAGGCTAGGCGATGGCGATTTGAAGTGTGTCTCGGCGGGAATGGGTCGAGACGCTGTAGGTACTAGCCCCGCTACACCAAGAAGCCCATTGCCTGCACCACCACCCGGCGAAAACCTGGAAGGTACTGTGCCGGCACGGGCGCGTCGGGTCTGCGGCAGGGCGGCTTCCTGGGAAGAGGGGAGTTGGGCAAAGTCCGGAAACCCGTCGGTCGGCGACTCAGGAATGTTCTCACGAAGAGGTGTCGAGTTACCGCTCGTAGGTGGGCCGCCCCAGGGGTTTACTGGCAAGCCAGGAACGCCTTCTTGGGCTTGTATCTCTCGGGCTCTATTAACAATCGTAGATTAGCCTCGGATCGCAGCCATACAGAAGAAATTGCGAACTAGAAGAGAAACAGAAAAGGGAGTGGGTTCATCTACCGTTTGGGATACAACCTGCTTGAGGCACCCATCTCAAGAGACGGGGAGCCAGCGCCGGATCGTGTCGGGTTCTGCATCTTGCCAGAGCCGACAGCACCAGGCGACAGGCCGAAGGGTGATCGTAGCGAGGTGCCACTGGTGGGCTCGTTGGGGGAATGGCTCGTCGCAGGCGATGTCGAGCGACCTTGTGATGCGATCGAGGACTGGGAGGAGTAGCCAAAGGCTAAGTGATCGGATCTAGAAGTTGACATTATCAATTACTTGGCGGGCCGCATGGGATAGGACGACGAATTGGCGTAAAAATCCCGTCTCGGTATGCTAGCCGAATGTATAGGTATCGGTATCTAGGCGAGATGATGGAAGATGCAGTGTTGTGTGGTCTCTCTCTTGTCTAACGGGAGTCGATGGAAATTGATTCGGTCTGGAGCGGAAAAGAGGCTGAAGGACAGCTAGGAGAGAGCCGACGATGGCAAGGCGAAATAATGCGAAGGAGCGTTTCGGTCCGAGATGATGGTCGCAAAGAGGAAGCGGTGTTGGTGGTTCGATTATAGTCAAGGGCAAAATTCACTATTCGGAGGATTTCAAGGTCCAGGGTCGAACTAGCCCATAAGCCGAGCAAAGGAGAGAACCTGCCAGATTCACAGCACAAGAAGGAAGAACTTCAGTCTGTGAGACCGTGGAAGGCAGCTAGAAGAGTGTCTTTCCAAGCCAAACTAATAAGGAAATCTGAAATGTATCAATGGTTTGGCAGTCCTCATGGGAGCTTCCAGGACTCCTCTGATGGGCTCAGGTCCTGTAGGGTCGTTTCACGTTTCGCTAGATTTTCTCTTCCTCCCAGAGGCCAAAAGCAAGGCAAAGAATAAATAATATGTTGACAGGAGAAAAAAGAAAATAATATGATAGATGTAAGGTTAAAAAAAAGATTTATAATGAATATACAGGCATCATTAGAAGAAGAAACAGTCGATGCAGATGAGCCTGGGGAAGAAGAGGGAGTAACAAAAAAAAAGACTTGCGGGTGAAGAAGGAGTGAAAGGTGGATTGCGCAACAGCCTAGGAGAAAGGATATCAGGGATTCAAAAATGAAGTAGTGTGTAAGATGTTTGGTGGGGAAGGCGATGGCATTTGCATGGGCTTGGGCTTGGGTCAAGGTGGATTTTGGGAGAGGTGAATTGAAAATTTGGGGGCAGAAAGAGGACAGGATGGCTCCTGCCGGGTACCTTCTCCGTACCTGCCCATTTGGCCCATTCCTCGACGCCAGCTGCCACTCAAGTCTTCGGGGAGGACCATGTACGAACTAGTAGTACGAAGTACTTGGATGGGTACCACAGGATTCCGGCTTCGATCACATTCGTATGAAGTATTACTTCGTAATAGCGGTACAAGCACGCATCGGACCTCTTTTCCCAGCACAAAGCTTCGTACCCTATCCAGGAACTACCAAGACAAGTACGGCCCTACCATCAGGTACTTCGTACATTCATCCTTGGCTCCTTGGAGGATTGGACGCATCCAAATCTATCCAGACACCGGGCAGGACATCAATTGATGGAAATGGCGTCAGGTGAAACGGGGAATGGAGCTTTGCTTCAGTTTTTAGGGGCACCAGCGGGGAAACAGCCGAGTGTGGAGCCCGCGACTGTGCTGTGTTGGCCACGACCGAATCTCACTTGATGGATCAATTGATATGAATGGATAATCTTCTCTCACCCGCTCCTGGCGTATGAGAGTTGTACGCCCTGACTCCGTACTTCGTACTCACGAATTCGTTCTCGCCAATCATCGAGTCTTCCGTCCGATTTAGCATCAATTTGCTTGATAACTCACTTCGCCAGATGTCGCCCAGGATGACGCAGCTTTTTTTTTTTTTTAACACTACATCTTCGGGACTTAGCTGTCTTCATAGATATATTCACTCTCCATCGACCATCATCTTGCATTAGGTCATCTTAGCTCGCTACCCATTGATATTAACCCGTATCATTCTCAGCATGGAATATCGCAAATTTATATGCAGAGTATCTGGGGGAACAGACCCAGGAGCTTCGTTCGTCTGTCCAAAGTAATCAGACTGCCCTTGCTCGCGAAGAGACTGGTGACATTGCATCTACGTGATACATCAGCCCCTCAGAGGAAAATCAGTACTGTGTAGGAGGGGGAAAGAAAATCCAGTGCAGGGACTGGTCAGGCCGGGCGTTAGTCACAAAAGGCCAAGGCAGTGACCGAAGCTCTTCCCGGATCCATCTGTATCTGTAGATGGCTCTTTCAGGCAGAGTCGAGGTTCCAAGACGACAAAACGGTGGTTGATCTGCGAAGACCAAATCCAATTGCACCCCTTATGCCCCACAGCTACCTATGTACGCATCTGAACATTCGTCACAATCCCTTTCTGCAAGTCCTTCCGTATTCCAGTAGTGTACAAATCGGCCGAGCCAACCTGCGCTGTGACGACGCAAAGGTCTGGGCGATTGGCCAGGCCTGACAAACCACAGCCGTGTGTGCCTTGCAGCGAGAGCTCAACCATTCTTCTCCCTGTACTAAGAGGAGATGAAGTACCAGCAAGAGTAACACTTCATCGTTTGGAAGCGACTTGACTGATCAAGGGACCAGCAGAATACTTCGTACATACAGCAAGGAATGCCGGCAGTGCGTAGTGTACCGTTCGCACTCCCTTTCCCTGTTCCCCGGATTCTGAGAGCACGCCCAGACAGAGGTTTTGCTTGAGTGGACCCACCATGTTTCAAAGGCAGGCCAGGAAGCATAAGGCAGGATTTATTCGAGAAGCTCGTACCTAAGCTGTCCCCTGCTAAGGCTCAGATCAACCGATCATCAATGGATCCAAGGATGTGAGTTGCTTATTGCCTGTCCTCCCTCTTCGCGAGCGAACTCTGGGAAGTCTGTCCCCGCTGAACACAAAGTGCTTACGTTGCTCAAGTTCAATTTGATGTTCTGTAGCCCTAAGTGAGAGACTCTACGAAGCACTCGACTACTCGACAACAGTAGAGAAACTTGATTAGTGCTTCAAAGGCCAACACGACGGAGCGGCATCCTAGGCAAATGGGAAGGGCTCAACAGGCCAACCAGCCGCTTTATTAACATGCGGAGTGGTTTTCTGGTTGATCGAATTGAAGAGAGATTAACCAGGTTACCGAACATCCAATTGTTGCCAACACCCCCTATCCAGCTCTTCCCCCCTTTTTCCCAGGGCTTACATTTCTTTTGCCAACAAGTTGGCTCTGCATATAATCTAGCGGAATCGCACGCTCTTACCAGTTGATGGGGCCAGCCTGTCTGGTGATTCGAAAGCCTCAGAATGAATACAAGTGCCCCTCGTTGGATGTTTCTCTGTATTATGTATAAGCCGATGCACATAATTTCATACTCAGGAGCGCAGTTATGCCCAATCAAAGCCCTTCCGTCCCTATCACAGAGCTCCATCATCTGAAAGCGGAAAAGCGCAATTAGAGACCACGCCTGCGGGTAGGGATCCTGAAACATCGCGTTAACTTGCCCTCCATGACGGCGCCCTCTGTCAGACGGCGTCAACAAGGACGCCCAAGACATTGATTCAATTGACCCCGTTCTGAGCACCCTATTGGCAGTCAACGGATGCGCCATCCGTCGACCTGCCCCGCCTGTTTTCTTGTGAGTACGTGGCTCGCTGCTCTTCCATAGATCAGAGTTGGGGTGGAGATACACTAAGATGGCAATAGGATGGACACAATTTCTACATTGTTCGCGCAAGCCGAAGATTTAGAAAATGGAAGATATTTTCTCATACTGCCAGTAGTCGGAATGCCATGCTCTCTCCACCTCGACGCCAGGATCCCCACTGTTGCAATTCCAGCCTCGTTGTCTCACAATTCCGCCATAGCATCAGGGAGCTATCGTGTCGAGTGTGCCTTCGTAACAGGTAGGTCGGTGCTGTTTTCAGCACACCCAGGCTCCTTTAGAAGGTACGAAGCCATCGCCTCAGCCGTTTAGGCCTGAGCCAGGCGAACCAAGTGAAAATCCAGGGCCACTTTGTGCGACCTTTTGTCTGTCGCGCCACCTCTCGACATGCCTCAAGCTATTTCTCGGGGGAGGAATGTTGGATTTCTTGGGCTTTGTATGTCTCGATCCACGATATGTAAATAGGTAGATTTTTACCATGTATAAACTGAATGGGGCTTGATTCTATTCTCTCAAGAGCCCGACAACCTGGACTCCTTCTACCTACTGCAGTAAATCGACGGCTGGAGACTCCAGTCCCCTCTATTGGATATCTATCTTTAGGGACCAGTGGCCAATTCTTGGGAACTGCGTCCTCAGAAAGCGGCGGGGAGTGATTGGATCGCACGCCCTGGACAAGGGACTTAAAGCAGCCCAGAGCTAGACTCGGAAGAAGGCACTCCCCCCTGAGATACTCGACATTCCCGCTGGTCATAGTCATACCTAGCAGAGGGCGACTGCTACTTTGGGAGGTCGGCATATAATTCCAGGTGCCCTAGCATGTTTCATCTCGTGTTGGGGCACGGGGGGTGAATGCTCTCGATATTTCCAGGGGCAGGGGCAAGCGCATCTTCTGGTCAAGCTTTTACTACGTAATACTAACAGAGTCGGAACGTCATACTTCGAAGGGTATTAATAGCAGACTCCGGGCAAGATTATTTTTGGGTTCAACTTTCATCCTTGGCCGGGGAAGAAGAGAAAGATTTTAGTTGTTCTCCACGTAATACCCAAAGAGAGCACCAAGAGACGGCCCACTATCTAAACTCCACTGATTCTCTGTTCCTTCGATCATGAAGATATAATTAGTCGGGCGCCTGATCTAAACCTTCCCCAGCCGATGCGGGGACCGGATGCAATACCCGAATCGACCGGGCTGGCTAGAGTTGGGAGTCCAATGACTTGGAATGCCTTTTCAAGATTCCGGACTCGGTATTTCTGCCCGGCTCTTTACACATACCCGCCAACCTGTTACTTCACCGTTGCATATTCTCTCTTGACTCGTGAGCGAGGTCGTCAGTGAAAATTACGGTGTAATTGCATCCGATACCCCCCCTGGGAAGTGCTGGTTTGATCCGAGCCATCTGATAATATTGGATCATCAGCTCCAGTGGTCTCCTTTCTCAGTGCTGCCAATATACTGTAGGAGATGCGGCAGGGCTGGGCACGACTTACAGGGAACGCGACGGTTGTGATCCTTGACTATACCACGCCCACTTAAGGTTTCCTACGCTAGCTGCCATAAACGGGATGTTTACCTGAT